CGCACCCCCTGTGCAGGTCAGGCTTAAAGAAGGAAAGCAACCAGTTAGGGTCAAAGAGTATCCCTTGAAAAAAGGAAGACAGGGAAGGAGTTAGCCCAGTGATTGAGAATTTTTTGCAATTAGGGCTACTGAATGAATGTCAATCTGACTTTAAATCTCCCATCTTGACTGTTGAAAACCTGATGGGTCATATCAATTAGTACAGGACTTGTGGGCTGTTAATAAGATAACTGAGGATCTACACCCAGTGGTGGCTAACCCATATACCTTGCTTACACGTTTAACACCTGAACTAACTTGGTTTACTGTTTTAGGTTTGAAAGATGCTTTCTTTTGCCTCCCTCTCCATGAAGCCAGCCAGAAAATTTTTGCATTTGAGTGGGAGATTCCCAGAAGTGGTCATAAGACTCATCTCACATGGACAGATTTGCCCCAAGGTTTTTAAAACAGTTCCACGATATTTGGAGAACAGCTTGCAAGAGATCTGGAATCCTGGGGAAGCCCCATCAGAAGGAGGACAGCTGTTGCAGTATGTAGACGACCTCCTGATTGCTACTCGAACCCAAGAGGCATGCATAGAGTGGACGGTAAGCCTCTTGACCTTTTTAGGCTTACAAGGGTACTGAGTATCTCAGAAGGCAGCTCAGATAGTGAGATAAACAGTTAACTATCTAGGTTATGAGGTCAGTGCTGAACAAAGGACTCTAGGGCAAGACCGTAAACAGGCAATATGCCAGATCCCAAAACCCCAAACAATAAAGGAACTAAGAACCTTCTTGGGAATGATGGAGTGGTGAAGATTGTGGATTTACAATTACAGACTGTTGGTTGAACCCCTGTATGCCCTAATCACAGAAGGGAACAGAGATCTTCAATGGACAGAAGAAGCCACACAATCCTTCAACCAGTTAAAGAAGGCCCTCATGTCAGTCCCAGCTCTGGGACTTGCAGATGTGAATAAACCATTTTTCCTATTTTCTCATGAGAAGCAGGGGATTGCCCTGGGCATACTAGCACAGGACTTGGGCCTGTATTGGAGGGCAGTTGCCTATTTTCCCAAGCAATTGGATGTGGCAGCAAAGGGATGGCAAGGGTGTCTCACAGTTGTTGCAGCAGTGGTGCTGAACATCCAGGAAGCACGCACATTCACCCTGGGCCAGAAGATGACTGTGCTAGTGTCCCATACAGTGTCTACAGTACTGGAAGTAAAGGGGGGGACATTGGGTCTCCCCACAGAGGTTCCTGAAATATCAAGCTATAATGATAGAGCAAGATCATGTTGAGATTTTGGTCACTAACCTTGTGAAGCCAGCTTCCTTTCTCAGTGGGAATGCAGGAGAACCAGTGATCCATGATTGCCTGAGGACTATAAAAGCCACCTACTCCAGTCACCCAGATCTAAAGGACACTCCTCTTGAGGACACTGAGACATGGTTTACTGATGGAAGCAGCTATGTCATCAGTGGAAACAGGCATGCTGGGTATGCAGTTACCACCTGCAGAGAGGTAATAGAGTCTGGACCATTACCAACGAACACCTCTGCACAAAAGACTGAAATAATTGCCTTGACCCCTGCCTTAGAATTGGCAAAGGGGAAAGAAGTCAACATCTATACAGATTCAAGATATGCATTTGGGGTTGTACATGCATATGGAGCTATTTGAAAAGAAAGAGGACTATTGAACTCACAAGGGAAAAACATTAATCATGCACAAGAAAGAGCAAAATTGTTAGATGCAGTCCAGCTACCTGCAAAGGTAGCTATTATGCATATCAAGGGACACCAGAAAGTGAGCTCTGAATTGGAAGAAGGAAATGAGCTGATAGATAGAGAGGCAAAAGAAGCAGCTAAAGGTAAAGTATCCATTGAAGCAGCTTTAACTCCAGATGGACAGATTTCCCTAGAAGGTGAGCCAAAGTACAACAAGAAGGACAAGAGACTTAGTGAGACTGAGAATGGGAAATACAAGCAGGAAGGATGAGCCATTACACAAGAAGGGAAAGGAAAGCTTTTAGTCGCCTCCTATTTGTTGTGGTCACTAGTGAAAGAGGAGCATCAGAAAACCCACTGGGAAATAGATGCTTTGTCTAATTATTTAAAAGATAGGATTGTAGTCAGAAATTTACAAGGTACAGTTATTTAAGTGACTTGACAGTGCAGTCTTTGCCTCTAAACTAATCCAAAAAATATTCCTAAACCAAAACTTGGACAAATTGGAAGAGGCTATGGGCCTAGGCAGCAGTGGCATATTGATTTTTCAGAACTCCCCAGGAAAGGGGTATATTGATATTTATTGGTATTGACAGATACCTTTTCAGGATGGCCGGAAGCCTTTCCTACCAGAACTGCCAAGGCACGCGAAGTGACTAAAGTACTGTTACAAGAGATAATACCATGCTTTGGAGTCCCAGCCACAATATTTTCAGATAGGGAGCCACATTTTATTTCAAAAATTGTACAGCAAATTAGCCACCAATTGGGCATAGACTGGGAACTTCATACTCCATATCATTCCCAGTCAAGTGGCCAAGTGGAAAAAATAAATCATTTAATCAAGTAGCAAATTATAAGGCTAGGGCAAGAAGCAAAATTACCTTGGCCCCAAGCTCTTCCATTAGTGTTACTGTGAATCCAGACTAAACCAAGGACAAAAGAGAAATTAAGTCCTTTTGAGATATTATATGGAAGGCCATATGAGGTACAAGAGGGAACATCAACTCAAGTAGGGGAAGAAAACTTACACAGCTACATGGGGGTCCTAAACAAACAACTCAGAGAAATTGAGAAGCATGTGGCTGGGGCTCGGAGCAGGGAATTAGATGGACCAGTACATGACATACAGCCTGGAGATTATGTGTATGTCAAGTCTTTTGCAAAAAAACTCTGGAGCCACAGTGGGAAGGACCATTCCAAGTGTTCCTCACCACTTTTACTGCAATCAAGGTCAAGGAACAGAATGCCTGGATCCACCATATGTGAGTGAAAAAGGACCCAGGAGATGTTTGGAAAGTTACACTAACGTACTGAAATTAAAGCTCACTCAGGAAAATAAATAGATTGTAGGAAGAAATTTTAGTCTAGTTTGTATTTATAATGACGTTGTTTCAAAGAATGGCAAGTACAATTTGGAAAGTTGTGTCCTTCACAATCATAGCTATGGCCACAACCGAAGTTAATAGGCACAACGCAACTGGTATTTATACTTGTCAAGGAAAAGCTTATGACTTTTACTCCCGTAGGTCCTTGTTGAAAATGATGAGAGTTATGAATGCATCTGTCTGGGAAGGGAGATCTGTCATCTGTCTGGGGATGTGAATATGCATTTGTTCAGGATGGGTTCCTTGAATTCTGTCGAGAACCTATGGAACTCATCCTGATTGGCCCTGAATGTTGTGACAAATGCTTAAGCAACTGCCCTGAATTCAGACTCAGAATAGAAGGATGTGCAGACAAGAACTATAGAATTGACTATAATATAATGCAAGTTTGTGGTGTTTCTCCGAAGTATAGAATTAGAACGATGCAACTATCAAGACAGACTGCCCAGATTAAGACTACACTCACCCAGATCCTAAAAGAGGCAGTTCAACCTATAGTTACCAAAATTGGACCATATGCTATTGATGCAGGGCGACCCTCAGCCAGGGAATAAAGCACTGTGACTCCATGATTCACAAGGCTGAACAAATGCTTTATTAAGCTATACTATTTTATATTACACTACATACTAATACTATACTATACTAATACTACAGCTAATACTAAAGAAAAACCCATGACCCTTTACAGACAGTCATGACACAGATTTGACCTAATTGGTCAATCAATCCAAACACCATCACCAGTGTCCAATTAACAAATCCCTTTTGGGTAAACAATCTCCATAACACATTCCACATGTGCCAAACAACAGATGCAGCAAGTAGAGATAAGAATTGTTTTTCTTCTTCTCTGAACTTTCTCACTGCCTTCCCCAAGAAAAATCCTGGGGAAGTTGTGCCTGCTGCTCTGTGAAGAGAACTGTGGCCACAATATGCCATTAAAAAGACTGGAATCCAAAGACTACTGCTTAATCTAGAATGGTCCCTGAAGCGAGTAGAAATGACAGTGCAGGTAAATGCTTCTGCCATTAGACCGGAGTGTGCCCCATTCCTTAAGACCCCTTTTATGGATGGGACCACTTGGTTAGAGAAGTGTACATCATATACGCTCAGACAAAAAAGAGATCTGACTGGACTATTAGGAACAGGACTGGGGGTTTTGAATACAATGGATTCAGATGTATTAATGAACAAATTAACTGTATTTGTTCGTGACACAATTAAGTTACAACAGCCTCTACAATCTTCTTTATTAGCTTTAGGTACCACTCAGTGGAAAGTGTCCAAGATATTACCAGAACGGGAAGAGAACTTCAGTCTTGGTGGGTCTTGGTGGGTCTTGGTGGGTCTTTGTCAATTTTACCTATGGTCCTGTCACAAGTGTAGTGACTGCTTTTGTCTTGACTATACATAATGCATTACTGGATTTAATATACCCAATAGTCACCTTAGGGTTGAATAATGAAGGAACTGTACTATAACCTTCTGAACACAATATGGGCATGGAAAGTTGAAGGGAAGTGGCAGACTATTAATATAGAGTCATGTGCCATGAGAAGACAATTAGGTTTTATATGTGAAGGAAATATGAATAATGATCAAGATACTTGTCTAGATACAGAACAAAGCATTTATCACTTTGAAGTTCATTCAGTCAACCAGACAACCCTGCTTGTGTATTGTAATATATGGAAGGGATAATTCACGCTATTAATGTATGGTATAAAATATTGTGAAATCCAAACCATGTATTTTGACCACCCCTGCCGGGAGCAGGTGTCTTATTTAGATTCAACTAGTTCCCGGACACAAGATAAGATAATGATCGATGCCTTAACATAAGAATAGAAGCTTCCAGGACGATGATCGTCGGTTTCCCAGTCGGTTTCCCAAGTTGTCAGGGAGCCACCCGAGAGCGACTATCGCCTTGCCGATTGCATCTATCAAGATAGTCAGCGATGCCACCCTGATACATCTGAATACACAGCTCCTCCGAAGTCGATTGACACCAATGGCACACCTGGACTGGACTTTTGTCCAGCTCTGCACATGGAAAGCAACAGCGATGCATGTGAAGAGACACAAAGAAAATTCGGTCATATTTGCCTCGGGCAGAATAAACTGTATAAAACCTCACTGCGCGAAACCACGAGCGTGAACAGGGGGAACTCTGACACTTGGGAGGTCAGATCCGAGTTCACCCGCCGCTGATCCTGGGCTCGACGCTGTCTTTTTGGCTGTGGTGGTTTTGAAGACCGAACTTTGGTCTCGCAGAAAAATTAATAAATCTTTACTAAATTTTTGATAGTTTTGGCTTACGATTTGATCATTTATAACATGTATATAGGTCAAGGTTGTGTCCCCTATCAAGCACCTGTTGTATCACATCAGTATCTAGAGGCAAATTTGACTATCATACAAGAAGTATTGAAGCGATACGAGGAATAAATAGACTCCACAACCTGATGTAGTTATGAAGTGGATATGTATTGTCAGCACCCAGCACAAGCGAGATAGCTCTCGTGAAAAGTTGTGCCCCAAGCCCTGGTCTGAGCCACATTTTTATTCACAAACGTGTTCCATATACATTACATTGCACAACTTTTCCATGCATATTCAACCCCTGGCCCCACTTGTTCTCGCCTCATACGGTAATTAGATCCACGCCCTTGTGAGCATGCATTGTTCGCAGTGGTGGTTGCAAGGGGTCTTTAGGTGGTCTCTGAGGCTTAAGGTCGTGGTCTTCCTCATGATTGAACTTTTGAACTTTTCTCCTGTGCACCTGCACTTTGGTCCCTTGGTGCTTATCTGAGTACGTCTGTCGATTTTGATTAGCTTGGAGATAGAGGAGTTCCTTTATCTAAGTTTCTTGCATTCCTTGGTCTTCTCCTGGTATTGTTCTTTATCGCAAGAAGCTTCAGAAATCTTCATTTTCCTATGCCCTTTGTACCATGGCAGAGGCTTCTTAAGTAGAAGGTTAAAATTCAACACACAATTCTACAAGCTGAAATTTAAATGCTTTATTCATATTGCTAACTTAAGCAAATCCCCAAAGCCTCAATTTCTATGTCACCTGTACCTATAGGGATGAATTTAACTTAAGCAAAGCAGTTATTGAAACATGGGGATCTAAAGGAAATTCTTGAAGAAATTAAAATTATGGGAAAGAAGACCTTAATTGCAATACATCAGTGAATACTGAGAAGCTAGATTCGCCTCTGTGAAACACACATGTGAGAGACAAGAAACTCCAAGAAGTCACTCTTTCTTTTCTGATTAGCGAGGAGGTGGCAGGCCCCGGCCCCGGCCCCTCGTCTCAGCCAGGCCAGGCTGGGCAGTCCAGCCCCGGGCCGAGCCCCTTCCTCCCTCCCGAGCTGCCCACCGCTCCCCCGCCCCCCCGCCCTCCCCCCCCAAATCGGCTCCAGTCTAACCAGGCCAGGGTCCAGCAACTGCCAGGTAGGAAGGCAGGGGAAGCTGCAGAGCCTTGGCCGGAACAGGTCTGGAGCAGGACTGGCCATGGCTGTGAAGATCTTACCATCAAATCCCCTTCCCCCAGCATGGCTGAGACCAGAGGCGCTTGCAGCCCGTGCATAAAACCAAAGACCAACCATGAGGCCAATCGATCCATCGTGACACAGCCCGCCACAAGCTACCAGCTGGAGTCAGGTAGGCCTCAGGCATAATATTAACCCTTTCAGTGCTTCAATCCTCCCTCGAGTGAGAGAAAAGAACAAGATGCAAGTATATAAAGGAACAGCATAAAGACATTGAGGTCAGTGAGGAAGAAGTAAAGTCTCAGATAAGAGGGAGGAGGAGAAGCCTTGTTTTTAAAACTGAAATCGTCTCATAAGCTATAGAGAAAGAACTCTTTTTCCTTATAATGCATGAAACTATGGGGAGATTAAAGTGTTCAAATTGATATTGAGCAAAAGCCGCCATGCTAAAATAAGCAAATGTTAAAATAGCTGTGATCCCATGAGAAGTTTAAACAGCGGAAGATAAAAAAGTAGTCCTGTGCTTCCAAGAGAAGAAGATCTCTATTCCCAGATGATTGGCTCTTGCAACTAAGGGATAACTATTGTGTGAATATTAAGAAAAGCTTTAGTGATATATAGTTATGTTATTGTAGTTTAAATGTCCTCTGTTCTCCCCATAGTTTCCTTTTCCCCCCCTGTATTGTTACCATCAGACAGCCGGGGTTGTCTAGGACAGAAGGCGTGCACGTGTCCCTTACCTGGTGCAGTTGGGAATAGAAAACTTGTTGCTAAGGGGGTGTGGCATGGCAACACCTGATCTCCAATCAAGTTGCAAGAAAGCATTCTCCACTGATAAATGGCAAAGAAGAGCTGACTGACAGACTTTGGGAGGGGCCAGGGCTGGTTGATGCAACCCCAGGGGTATAAAAGACTGAGCATCCATCTTGAAGACAAACTGTCCACATGGTATCCACGGGGGTCAGTTCCCAGCACTGCGAATTTTTCCTTATATAGTCATTTTGTTGTATTTTTATCAAGGTTTAATAAACCTTTTTTAAATTTTCAAAGTGAGCAGTTGTTTCTCACACCAGAGATGAAGATGATTTTAAAAATAGATAATGAGAACTTTTACCTTTTAACAGCTCATCTTTAAAACAATATCCCATAAGTCAACATAGCCCATCGACAAGCTATAAGAAGGCTTGTAGACGTGGGAAAGATTTCACAATGGTAGGGTTCCCCAGGCGGCTGCTGCTCATGACGAAATTGAGAACTACAAGAGAAATGTTTTTTCCTCTTATAGAAAAGTCTCCATAACCTTAACAAGGGGAACTTCTCTCCCTCACTAAACTAAAGAAAGCCTATTTTAGAAGTGGTAAACTGACTGGAAATCTTACGTGTAGTTTCTTTACATTGTCAGTAAGAAAAAAAGTTGTAGGAAGAGAGAAGTGTTCTGAAAAGTTTGTTTTGATTCTTAGTACTTTTTTTCCCTTCTAGTTACTTTTAATAAAATTTTCTTTATACCCTCCTAAAGTTTTGAGCCTACTTTGCCTTTCTCCTAATCCTGTCTCACAGCAAGAAGTGAGTGTATGTGTGCGTCAGCCAAGCAAATATCAAAATTAGAGAAATCTTAAATTAGCAAACCAAAACCCCTACAAGAGCTTAACAAGGAAATTAATTGTTACCAGGTGGGGACAATTGAAGTGAAGACAATATATCATGTATTTGACTTAGTTGTGTTCTTAGAAATGACAGGAAATATATGAAGTATTGTAAAAGTGTAGGCACCATAAATATACCTGGCTTCTAAGAATAATTGAGCCCTGGAGAGGGGATTTGGACCATGAACAACAGGTCAAGAAACCCTGCCAACCAGATAAAGGTGAAGAGTTTACCACAAGGAAGACCTCCTTCTTCATCTTCGGAAGCCCACTGACCCAATTAAAGAAGAGGACTGCCCAGCCATAATGAACATTCATCTAATTATAATACAGAGCAGGAGCAGGTGATGCATATGTATAGGTATCTCAGATGTCTTTATGAATGTGTAGAACTTTTGTGGATATATGGAGAAGCTACAGTTTTGGAAATTTGCACATGCCTTTGGAGGACTACCTCCCATGTGCCCAGGGCACTGAATCAACATTCCCCTTTTCAACTTTAATTAGTTGAGGAGTCATCTGTCCGTGCATCAAGACCACCAGTTAACCGAGTCTCTTAAAGCTGAAATCAAAGAAAGTGAATGGACTATTACACCAGAGGGACAGATTGTAGTCCCACCTCAGTGAGAACATGAAAGCACCCATAGGGGAACAGAGAACATTTTGAAACATCTGAAAAAAGTAGTAATAGAAAGGGAAATGACCGATATTGTACAGTCTATAGCAAGCAGATGTGAAATCTACCCTAGAAACCATCCCAACATGAGCAAAAGAGTTGTGTTAGAAATAACAGAGGCAAGGGGCTTTCCTGGAGATTATTGGTGAGTAGATTTTGCTGAGTTACCATGCAAAGAAGGATACAGGTGTGTATTGGTGTTGATTGACACCTTTAGTGGATGGTCTGAGGCTTACCCCTGTTGCAGTAACACAGCAAAGGAGGTGGTGAAAGTTTTGTTCAATCATATAATTACATTGTTTGGGGTTCTTTTGGGGTTGTTCCCCCAGTGATTGGGAAAGTTAGTAAAATGTTGGGAATTGTTTGAGATCTGTAAATTCCCTACACACCCCAGACAAGTGATAAGGTTGAACATGTGAATGAAACCCTTAAAACCCAGATTAGTAAAATTTGTCAACAAACATCCATTACATGCATTCAGGCCTTGCCTATTGTCACAGCACAGCTGGTCTGTAGCTGGACAGATAAATCTGGCCATAACAGAAATCCAATTTGGCTAGCCTAGTATGTTACAGTAAAGAAGTAAACAAGTCCCTGGGTGAGCAATGATAGGATGGATTTGAACTCAAACAAGGGACCCCAGCCAATCCCATTCAATCCTGAATGCAGACATATCATTGGCCAGGGAGCTGAGTGGTGCTGAGTCCCCAACCAATCAGTCATTCAGGCATGGGAATTTTGAACCCCCTATAAAAGGGGGTGGCCATAATAAATCTTTGCTGTTTGTTGCATGATCTTCAGTGAGTCCTGTTGCGTGTGTGTCGCCAACCTACGACCGTAACATAATAGCTTATAGCCTTAGTGAGAATCTGCATACAACCAAGTCAGAGAGACAACGTAAGTCCTTATGAAATATTGCATGGCAGAGCATATCAAATTATGTATATTAAGGGAGAAATTGATATGAGGGGAAGTTAGTCTTTGCATATTAACTTACAGAGGTATTTAATAGCTTTAAGTTCCACTTTGCAGATGCTCCAGAGATTTGTCTTGTTATCCAGACCAATAGGACTGGACACACCTGCTCATCCATTCCAGCCTGGAGACTGAGGCTATGTTAAATGGTGGGACAGTGACCCTTTAGAAACTGAGTGGAGAGGACCGTTCCAAGTCCTGACTATCTTCACTGCAGCCAAAGGTGCTGGCAGACAACCCTGAAAAGTGTGTTGTTTTATTTCTAGGTTCTTTAATCATCAAGAGAATAAGATGGAAAACAACTAGTCGGTTGAGATAAGGCAATTTACTAAAGCAAAGGAAAAAAATAAAGAAACAAAAGTTTGTATGCACATAAGCAAAACAAAAAGTTAATCTCTACTTTCCATCAGCGAGCACTGTTCAGACTCCCCAGGAGGCAGGGCTTCAGTGTCGCAGACATATTTTCATTAAAAATCCTTTCTTAGGATTTTTCTTCCTGAGAAGCTGAGAGGCTTCAGGAACAAAATGTAAACAGTGGTTATCTGCTGCTGTAGAATGCAACAGATGCATCTGTGATTGGCCCATCTTGGATGTTTATAATTAATGGCCAATCATAGCCCAGTTAGCTTGGACTCTGTCCGAGACACAAACCTTTATTATTCATTCCTTTCTATTCTTTGCTTAGCCTAGCCTTCTGATGAGAACTTTTCCTTCTATTCTTTTTAGTATAGTTTTAATGTAATGTACATCATAAAATAATAAATCAAGCCTTCTGAACATGGAGTCAACATTCTTGTCTCTTCCCTCATCCAAAGAGCCCTGTGACCACTGTCACACTTCAGCACGCATAGCGATTGTTCCAGAAGGCAAATGTAGAATAATGAATGCCCCCTGTTCCTCCTCCCTCCCTTAGCTTTTATATCTGAGCTGCTGTCATATGGTATGGAATATTCCTTTGGTTAATTTAGGTCAGTTGGCCTGGTTGTGTCCCCTCTCAGGATCTTGCTCACTCCCAGCCCCTTGATGGAGGGGAAGGAATGCTGGAGA